AGAGACGGGGTCTCGCTCTTGCTCAGGCTGGTTTCGAACTCCTGAGCTCAAACAATCCGCCCGCCTCGGCCTCCCAGAGAGCTAGGATTATAGGCGTGAGCCACCGCGCCCGGCCCAGGCTTGCTTTTTGAAAGCTCTTAACTAAACAAGTTCACTGCGACCTTTTATTGCCTCCATCAGATAAGGTTATGAAAAAACCCCACATTTAACTGGCCCTGGGTTTTGATTACCGAGCCCTTTATTTTGGTTTCCCATAATCTTGATCATCTGTCATCACAAAAATGACACAAACCTATATCCACACAAACATGAGATGCAACTCATGCCTCTGTCTTATACAGTCCAGTGAAGAAATACTATTCCTTTCCCCTCAGGTCTCTCAATCCTGTTCCTTCTCAATTCCTAACATTATTCCATGAATCACCTCCTAGCTGGAGCACTGCAACCTCATCCTATCTGGCCTTCAGGACTCTTCCCCTCCACTCTAGCCTATACGTCCCACCTTATTTAGCCAGGTGTCTCCTCACAGGCCTTCTCTAAGTTTTTAATATGCTAACCCTGTGAATCTCTAAGAAGGGAATATGTCATATATAAGCATTACCAAAATATGTTTGATAATAAATTCCCAGAGCATTTCCAGGGACCAGAATTCTAGGAACTTATTTTGGGAGTAATGTTCTACAGATTTTAAAACTCATCCCTTAAAAGTTAAGCTAACTTCTATGAAAACAGACATCCCAATGATGCTTTAAAAACACGTATTTAAGCTTTTTAGGCCTTAAAAAAGTTTATTTTCTTTGTTTTAAAGAAAGTATTTTCTTTTGTTAGAAAGTCCACTAAAGAGGCCAAAAAACTACATTATTGATTTTAAAAACTTTGGGGCAAAGCAGGGTTTCTCAACTCCGATTCATATTAAGATTACTGGAGACCTTTAAAGATCAACATCCAGGTATCACCCCAGACCACTTAAGTACAACTCTTTGGGGATGGGGTCTGCGTACTGACTATTGTTTTAACAGTGCCCACCTGATTCCAATATGCAACAGAGTAGAGACCAGCAAGGGTCCAAATAAATTAAAAGAAAAAAGCTGATGGTAATGGTTTCAAGTGTTAAAGAAAAAATAAAACTTTTATTTGATTATCTTCTTTGGACAAACCTCCAAGTCTTAATAAAAATATTTACATTCAGACTCAAGCAAAATAGTGTATGCAAAGATAAAAGAATGCCTAATAAATCCCTTATCTGGTTAATGGACTTTTAATTTTTATAGTTAGAATCCCTTTTTTGTATGTTAATTAATCCCTTGTGATAATACATACTGGGTATATATATGTTCCAGTCAGTCATCACCTAACAGAAATGAACTAAAATTACTTAAATCTTTTAGAAACAAAATCAAGGATTCACAAACTATGGCATTTTATTTCAGAGCCTTTGCTTACATTTGTACAATATATTACATAATTCTTCATTGTTTGCAGATCCTAATATATACTTTATAGCTTTTATTCTATAAGCTTTTTCTTCAACATTTTGCTGTCAACAAATCTTTACAGTCCTGTACAAATTTGAATAACTTGAAACCATTTTCAACAAAATTAGTTACTGTAAGCACACACTACAAGACTGAAAATGCTTTTCTTAGAAAAGTTGAATGTAAAGGATTCTGACACGTCAGCATCTACAACAAAACGCTTCGAAATTCTCACGTCGTACTGCCAGAAAACAAATAAAACATGCCAGCCCCATCCAAAAAAGGTACACAGAACTACAATTAAAACAGCAAAACAGTCTGTACAGTAAAGTACTGTGTATTAACAGTGCCAGGTATTAAATAGCTTGAATGAACACATCCGCAATATACAAATGTCTTACAAAGGTGAAGAATTAAATACAAGTGCCAAACAGAACAGAGATTGGAATCATACAACGTAAAGTCAATACAAGTGAAAACAATTTTGCGTTCGTTTTGGATTTTATACAAGGCATTTAATTTTATAGGCCTACCACCCCAATTAGCTATTTATATTTAAAATAACCATCCTTTTGAGAGAGTTCATGTCAACAACCTTGAACCATACTAATACATTACTTGTTCCTGAAGTCCTTTTGTTGTAGCTCATAATAAAATAAGCAATACAAATGAATTATCTGTATTTAAGGGAAAAGAAACATTTACAAGAAAACACAAAAATATAACTGTTATAATTCATTATGAATAAATATACACTTTGAACTGGCTAAGTACAATCTTTATACATTGTTTTTAAGATTTAATACAGTTTATTAGCCATTTTCTTTTTTCACACAATGTATTATATCAAAATTAAAAAAAAATACTGATTTATAGAAAAATGGCAAAGTACAGTAGTTCCATTCCAATTTGAAGGGGCATGAAAAGCCACTGCAAGACCTTTTAGCCTAATTCAAACCTGTAAACATTTTCAGTCTTTTTTAAAGAGAATCTTTAATATTTGGTTACCAGGATTGATGTCTAATATCCTGTTAACTGCAGGTTTTGAATTTATTACATGTGCTTGACTTATACAATTAAAGCCACCCTAAGGTGACTTGCTTTAAAAAACAATTAGCTTGTACAAATGAAAATAGGTTCATATTTTTCATAAATAAATGGAAAAATATCAAATGTTCCAGCTTTAACAAAATACAAGGGAATACATATACAGTAAGATATCTTAACATGTTCTGGCCCACCTCGTAACTATGCTTACTGTATTGTCTCTACAGGCAGTGAAAAGCCTCCATTTGCCACAGTGGAAGGCCTTCAAGTTACCAGACACACAATTCCCAGACAAGTTGGAAACAATTATTGCTTGAGGAAAAGCAGTTCATTGTACTTTTTCTTCATAAAAAAGTGCACTTAAGTGCCAAGTCAGCTTGTCAAGAAACAATTTTTAAATATAAAATAGTGCTTGTCTGATTTTTTTGTGCCACTGTGCAGTATAAAAAAGACGTGGCCCTCAACAGCCATTAAGTGCAAAGTGCTTTAGCAAGTCCTGCTGTCACCTGCACTCAACTGACATTCCATTTTGTGATGCGCTGGACATTGATGGTTCAGCTAAAGTTAACATAACAGCAGCTGTTATGGAACTGGATGAAGGTGATGAGGAGGATGAGGATGTAGCAGCACCTAAGGAAAATGGAGACCAAACCAGGAGCTTAATAAAAAGTGTATTTACCAATAGAAAGAAAACACTAGTCCTCTGAATTGAAATTCTATTGTATTCCTCAAAATCATTTAGCTTACCACAAGAGTAGGCAATATTCACAGTACCATGATGTGCCCAACTACACAGGTAATAAAAAATGACAGGCTGGTCGCGATGGCTCACGCCTGTAATCCTAGCACTCTGGGAGGCTGAGGCAGGAGGACTGCTTGAGCTCAGGAGTTCAAGACCAGCCTGAGCAAGAGTAAGACCCCATCCCTACTAAAAATAGAAAAAAAAAAAATTAGCCAGTCAACTAAAAATAGAAAAAAACTAGCGGGGCATGGTGGCGCACACCTGTAGTCCCAGCTACTTGGGAGGCTGAGGCAGGAGGATCGCTTGAACCCAGGAGTCTGAGGTTGCTGTGAGCTAGGTTGACACCATAGCATTCTAAGCCCAGGTAACAGAGTGAGACTCTGTCTCAAAAAAAAAGAAAAATGACACACCAAGAAAGGCTCCTGCATGGATTAAAGAGGGGAAAAAATTGTGTGGCCGGTCTATAAGACATGGAACTAAAACACTA